AGATCTTGATATCCCCTTAGGTCTCTTTGGCACATTCATGAAAGTTCATTAAAAAAGTAGAGACGTCTGATTCATCAAGAAATTATTATTTTAAATCAGATCTTTATTCAGTCGATCCACAATCTGTGTCCATGATCTGGTTTTTGAGTTCAACTCACTCAGTGACCAGAGGAGACAAATACCACTTCAGAAGTTATGTACAGTATATGATACTTTTATGCTGCTTTTGCATCCTTTTTCAACTTATTCACAATTTCATCTTGTGTGTTATTTGGAAGAAAGAAGGGCATACAGGTATGGATCAGCAGGAGAGTATGATGACTGAAGTTTACTGAAGTTTTTCAGTACAGTCCAGTGTGTGTGTGTGTGTGTGTATCAGATGTGAACGAGTGTTCGGAGGAGCCTGGCATCTGTGCGTATGGCTCCTGCTTCAACAGTCTGGGCAGCTTTGAGTGCGTGTGTAAACCTGGATTTGTGCTGTCAGAAGATAGACGCAGATGTTACGGTAACTTTCTTACTCAGTTTTACAGTGTACCTATCGTTCAGATACTTTATGAAGTAGTTAAACTTAACATGTTTTCTGACTCTGCTGCGTCACAGCTCATTTACTCATGCTCTCTCTCCAAAAACTGCAGTAGCAAATTCAAAGCTTCCTTCATGAGTTCTAAAATCACATTGTTTCTAACAGTGTGTAAGAAGTAGTTCTACACACAAGAGTGTTGAAAAACATGAAAAATATTGAAATAAAACATTATCATTCCTTATGCTTACCAACTGTTTGTTGTGTCAGACACTAGAGAGAGCTTCTGTTTCACACGCTTTGAGAGCGGCAAGTGCTCTGTCCCACAGGCATTTAACACCAGCAAAGCCAAGTGTTGCTGTAGCGTCATGGCCAAAGAGGGCTGGGGCGATCCCTGTGAGCTGTGCCCTAAAGAACAGGATGGTACCAGCGCTCTCATCTCCTTCATCATCAGTTACACCACCACAACACCACCCCAAAATCCTTCTCATTGTTTTATGTTGTGTGTGTGTTCACAGCTGCGTTTCAGGATCTGTGTCCGTTTGGCCATGGGATCATTCCTGGTGTTGGAAACACACGTGTGGGTAAAGACAATACTGTACTTGTTGGCTTTATAAAGTGTAATAATGGGTTTTACTGCTGAGAATGTGAAATTTACTGCTGTGCCAAGCTGAAAGTTTAAAGGGAAAATTGTGTGAAGAGTTTTGAAAATGTGTCCTAGTGATTGTATATATATATATATACTGTTCTGAGAATTAAGGCACACTGATTGTTGTCTGTTGGGAAGAAATAAAACATTAAACACAGAGTGCACAAATCTGAAGCTGTACAGGCTGACCATGCTGTATCACTGTGTCTCTCAGACTTAAATGAGTGTGTGGAGAATCCAGAGATCTGTGTGAACGGCCACTGCATCGACATGGATGGCTCCTTCCGCTGCGAGTGTCCCACGGGCTACATGCTCAACTACACAGGAACACGTTGTGATGGTAAGAGAACACTGTAACTTTCAACAAAACATACTTTAAAAGTACTTTTGTTTGCACCTTCGAATATATTGCATTTAAAATATTAACTGTGTGCCAGTTTAGTTAAAAACAAGGATTATTTATGAACATTTTTGTTCACCCAAAAGTTAAAATTCTGTCATCATTTACTCACCCTCATGTCAGTCCAAACCCATATGGCTTCTTCTTCAGAATACAAGACAATATTTTGTAGAATGTTGGCCACAACCACTACAGACATTGAGGGGGAAATCAGCATCTCCCACTGAAAATGAATGACTTCAGGTCACTTTGACTGTAAATAACTCAGATTATGCAGATCGCTTCTTCACTGATATTAGCTTGACATTTTGCTCATCCAGGGGCCATGGTTCTCCCCTTGTTGGTGTGGGTTTCCTCTGGGTATTCTGGTTTGCCCCAAATGCAGATCAGGTGAATTAGACATGGATTGAATGGACAGAATTTGCTGGTCCATTAGAAACTGTATCTCAGCTGGGTGATCATCTCATTATCAAACATGTGACAGTTTATTGAGGGTTTGTTTATTTTTGTTTGTTTATTTTTGTTTATTTTCGACATGTTCAGCAAACAGCATTCTGTTCTCTCTGTGTGTGCAGACATTAATGAATGTTCATTTGGAAACCCCTGTGGAAACGGCACATGCTCAAATGTGATCGGAGGATTTGAGTGTCTGTGTGAGGAGGGATTTGAGCCTGGACCAATGATGAGCTGTGAAGGTCAACTGATAAAATCATCTGAATATCTGATATGACATTTACTTACCCAGCTTCAGTGTGTTGACATGTATGATGTCATTAAAATGGAAATATTTTTTTTCTTCTGTCTATATTTGACATAGCGGTCCCACTTTATATTAAGTGGCCTTAACTACTATGTACTTACAGTAAAAAAATAAGTATAATGTACTTATTGTGTTCATACTGTATTGCAAAACACTTTTGGGATATGGGTAAGGTTAGGGACAGGTTAGTCTCAGCCTCAGACATAACGCCGACGGAACGTTGGCTAAACGTCTGATGCATATGGCACACAAAAGTGGAAACACTTCAGGAGTTTCGAAGTCGTCATCGGATTGGTTGAATTATACAGGATTTCCGGGAGACGTGCGTGTCGTGTTCTTTAACGTTCCACCTGGAAACAAAGATGCTATGACGCCAAACCCCCTCACGAAAGAAGAAAGCCGTCATTGTGTTTACAACTGTGACGACGAGCGCTTATCAGGATCAACTAAACATATGGGTAAGGTTAGGGACAGGTTTGATGGTATGGGTAGGTGTAAGGGATGGGTCAACAGTGTAATTGATAAATGTAATTACAGAAATTAGTTACAGATGTAATTACATGCAGGTATTTTTTTA